ATATAATATAAAAAACCGTCGAATCACATTAAAACTACAGGAGCATGTATCAACTTCAACTACAAAATCCAAAGGTCAATGTACTGGGGACTAATTATCATCATGCCTGATAGCCAATCAGCCATAAAAGCCCTGATCTCTTAAGAAATCAGCTCAAAAATTGTCTGGAGAAGCCTAGAAAAATTGAATGAGCTAGGCGAGGAAAATACAGTTATTCTCACTTGGGTCCAGAGACATCCTTTGTGGGACCTGAGCCGTTCTGCGGCATCAGCAGTAACACAATATTAGGAAAGATTAAAAAATAATTGAGCGTAGAAGAACCGAGAATTAGAACAATCTCTTGGGGCTAACATACTTCCAGAAAAGATCGGAAGCCTGTATCTGCCTGAGCAAGAACAGGCTAAGTATTGGTAATAGGTGCCCTTATTGGGTATTGCCGACTCAAAGGACACCTTAGTAAACTGAGAGTAGTAGAAGATAGTGAGTGTAGATTCCGTGAGGAGGATGAAACCTCCATTCACATTCTGACCGAGTGAGTACCACTCCAGAATCCTAGGGTACTATATCTAGGAGCATATCAAATAGAAGAGGGAGATTTACCTAACTTGAAGCCACTCCAAATCCTACACTTTCTTGAGAAGATAGGAATTAAAGGAAGACATTTCCTTGCTGCATTAGCGACATAATGGGGCACAATAGATTTTTTAAGTCGCAATGTCTCAACACCCCATTCCCAACATAACATAAATACCAATACCGTATAATAATTATGGGTTTCTATTTATGACACACTAACATAGTTCTGTAGATTCTATATACTTATGAAATTAAACTCTGGAACTCTTTCTGTTCTATATTAGGACTTAATCGCAGTATTAATATAGCACATTTTATCTATTAGAACATTCCAAATAGTTTCATATATTCCTAATTTATATCCGGAATAAGGCAAAAATTAATCAGTTAACAGGAATAATGGCACAATGCAATGCATCTAAATTATCAGTGGGATGATTTTTGGGGTCAATTAAACGACAATAAATTTCTCCAATTCGAAGGTAATTTGACAATGAAACTTCAAATGATAGAAAATGAAATATCACACCACATAACCTTTAAAGAATAATAATATACGCAGTAAAATGTGTAAAATTTTGATGGCCAACCCCGAATTAAATAAAAACTAAATAGCATACAAGCAATTTTTGTCTTTTTAGATATTGCGTAGGTGTATATTTAATTGTTAATCCGATATTTATAACAAAGTAATTCCTATTTTATTAACTTTATTTGATTAAAAAATAATTGACCTTAAGTTAATAAATGTACGAATATTTTATTAATTTTACGATACTAGAGCGGTAAAGTAGCCACTACGATATTCAAGATAATACACAATGACTCCATATTGGTAGTAGATAAAATATTTTATTAAACATTTTAAAATCATTTACCTATAACATTTCATCTCGTAAGTTAAAATAAAGTTATAAATGAACAATTTTATTTCCTAATATATAATAAATAGGGGAGTACGTTTACTTAGATATGTTTTTTTAGCTGTCAAATAATGTATCATAGAGGTTTAAGCCTACTTGACACATTGAAAAAATTGTAAATATTCTACATTATACATATTTTATGACAAACTATTTCAAGGAATGAAATTAGGGGTCCCAGTGCGAACGCTTTATCTTAAATTAAACTTTTGTAAAGGTCATCTCTTTTTTCTTCAAATCTCAGTGTGAATCACGTAAAATTGAAACTCCAGCTTTACTATGCACGAGGTACTATATATGTTGGGACACCCTTCTACAGTATAATCAATAGAGTATTCTAGTCTAAACTTCAGCTAAATAAAATAATGCGACCACAATCAATGGAATGTCATTAATCTATGTTTTGGAATTTTGATTTACAAAAAAAATCTTAAGAATTAATTTTGATACATACTAATAATCCATCCATAAAGTATTGAGCAAAAAACTTAACAAAACCGTAAAATCTACAATAATCAATTAAAATATATACAGTCTTTTATATTATACTACTCCCAAAATTTCACTAAACATCTAACTGAAAAAAAAAAGGTGCAACTTGATATGATTGAACAAAATTAAAGGCATACAATAATTATTAATCTAAGAATAAATTATATCACAATATAAATATAAATTCTAATGCAATAAATTTTAAATAGTATACATTTTCGCTTTTATAATAATTTTTAATGGCTTTTATACATCGTGCACTTGAAAATAATGCATTCCTCAAAGGGAAACAATTAATTTTTATTAAAAATGCTCTAAAAAACATCCATTGTCCCAATAACATTAAAATAAAGGGAAAGAAATAAAACTAGGTCCTTAAGTTCTCACATAATTATTTTAATCACGACAGGTTTCCAGGTTTTCTTGTAACCTTATCATCAAGCGATAGTCTCAAAAAGACAAACAAAACGGGGGTAAGTTCCTCTATTTCAATTAGAACCGTGTCGATAAAGAACATACAAATCAAAGAATTAATTCAAGCGGATGTATTAAAAAATTAAATAAAGTAATTTGCCGCTAATAATTGTTTAATACAGACTAGCTGTGGTATTTCCCAAAGAAACTAATATAGAGAACATATTTTATAGTTCAATGATTAACGAAAAAACACAAAGAACAAACTAATTTAAAATAAGTAACGGGAACACAACATTAAAATTAAAAGCTGTTAAGGAGGTCCTTTCGCCACCAATGTTAAATAAAAAATATTAGATTATGACTAAAATTAATTTTTTTCTAATAGTAGATGTCCTTATTTATCTAATAGTGAACTTTTAACTATACCTTACCGTGCAAATTTTTGAGAATTTTTTTTTAAAAATGTGTCTTATGAGAAAGTAAGACTTCAACAACAATTTTCGAATTATAATTAATTTTACTATTATTTATTGATTAGATGGAGTAGAAAAAAACTAAAAATAAGGTTTTTGAAATATTTAGGTTTTGTTTTTTACAATAAAATATATAGGTTACCGTGGAATTTATTGAGAAATTATTATTAAAAAATCACAAAAAATTTTCAACTAGGTTACTTGAAACTTTTTTGTGATTTTTTAATATTAATTTCTCAATAAGTTCCACGGTTTACTATATATATTTTATTGTATAAAACAAAATCTAAATATTTCAAAAACCTTATTTTTAGTTTTTTTCTACTCCATCTAATCAATAAATAATAGTATAATTCGAGAATTGTTGTTGAGGACTTACTTTCTCGTGAGGCACTGTACAAATACTAACATTTAAAAAAAAAATTCTCAAAAATTTGCAAGGTAAGGTATAGTTAAAAGTTCAGTATTAGATAAATAAGGACTTCAACTATTAGAAAAAAATTAATTTTAGTCATAATCTAATAACTTTTTTTTTTAACATTTGAGGCGAAAGGACCTCCTTAAACTAACTAAATATCTGAAAATATTTTTTTAATTTTTTTTTTCAATGTTGATAAAAATGTCTAGACATTAAATTAGTGAACTAATAAACAAGTTAGTGTAGAAAACTGTATTTTTATCAGTACAAATTTAATGTGAATGTGCATGTTAAAATTGTGAGTTATACCTATAGATGGCGGCAAGAAATTTTTTTTTCCAATACATTTGAATTGTTTATTATATTTGGGTACTTCTCCACTAATTGGAAAATCACTGTCCCAGGCATATTTAATATATTTACTGTTAATATTATAGTTATGTATACAAATAACGTCAATATGTTACCTATTCTTGACGCGAAGAAATTACAGTAGAGAAGAAGGGGGAGGGGGGGGGGGGAGGATGATACTTTTTATATTTGTATGATTGAAGAAAAGTTAGGTGTGAACTCAAATAGAATTTGTAAATTTAAGGATAAAACTGTTGGATTTTTTGTAATTCTCAATATTTCTAGGTATTTGAAATTATTTAATAAAAGTTTGTTAAAATCCATCAGTTTTATCCTTAAATTCACAAATTCTATCCTACCTTTTCTTCAATTTTATAAATATAAAGTTTCATTCTTTTTACCCCCCCCCCCCCTTCTTTTCTGCAGTAATTTCTTTCTTTTTCCTCAATAAACAAACTAGCCTTTTTTTTTCTTTCATTTTCAAAAATTGCTATTTCTTCTCCCAATATCTCTAGTTGTTTTTAATTTTTTATTTATTTTTTGTTCTCATATTTTCTATATTCCTCCAAAATTATTTTCCCTACTTTATTGTTAAGCCTTAGAGTATCACATGATGATGCAATTTGTTGTATTCTGTCAATATATAGTTGAAACGTATTGGAAAACATTTTTCTTATCGCCATCTATAGGTATAAGTAACAATTTTAACATTCACATTTGTACTGATAAAAATACATTTTTCTAGAGAATTTTATCACCATTGAAAAAAAATTAAAAACCATTTTCTGACATTTTGTTATAGTTTAACAGCTTTTTATTTTAATTTTGTGTTCCTATTACTTATTTTAAATTAGTTTGTTCACATATAAGAAAACCTCGAAACTGGTCATGATTAAAATAATTCTGTGAAAACTTAAGGACCTAGTTTTATTTCTTTCCCTTTATAACTCACACATGGCAACTACCTTCAACTTTAAACAATAAAATATATGACAAAGAAAATTACAATTTTTGGACATATGAAAATATAATCCCCAATTACATCTAAGAAATTAAGAAATATATCCCCAAAGTGAAAACAAATCAAAGATTAATTATTGAAAAAGCTGAGAAATAAAGAAAATAAAAAATGAGTGCATTAGCCAGGGATCGAACTTAGAACCTTCCAAACTAGAGTCGCCGGCTCTACCAACTGGACCACCGAAGTACATAGCTGCAACAGTGGAATTCATAGATTTGATGTCAATCAGATTCATACTCTCGCCAGCACCAACACATTCTCCTCCCTCCTCCCAGCTATCTCAATTCTCCTCCCTCCTCCCAGTTATCTCAATTCTCCTCAAAGCCACTCATGCGACATCATATAGAAAGAAGCCAATCTCAGAATGTACTAAAATACATTCTAAGATCCTTTAGCCGTTTGCTAGTGTTAAGTTTTCGTATACGAGCTGTTGTAAACGTGAAATTGCAAAGAAAACTGAGAAAATTGGTTTGAATCTGAAAACTAAAAAATGTAATTTTTGGAAATATGAAACTATAAGCCCAATTAACCTTACGAAATGAAGATATATTTCTTAATCTCATAGTGGATGCAGAATACATTTTCGATTGTCGCTAATAAGGTAACAGTAATGTGCATGTTGTAATGTTCTCCACATTTTACTAATTTACTAATTTTCGATATATACATATTTATTTATTAAGATTTTTTTAAATCTAAATACCTACCACAATATATAGGTACGCGAAAGAAATGCACAATTTTCAAGGATACAAACCCATTTCCAATATTTTTTGAATATACGAAATTACTTAAATCAATTTTTAGATAAAATTCCAGTAAATAAATATTACCGCAAAGCACTAATTAATGGACACACTGTATAAAATTTTAATCTAAAAAGGATCCCATTTATGCGGTATAATAAAATTAAATAAGATCAGTTCATGCTAACTTTTTCTACATTTAAAAATAAATTGGTTACAATAAAATATACAGTAATACAAGAACATCAATCTATGGACCCTATTGTTGAATAATTCATAAAATTAGTTTACTACTCTATATGTACATCAAATTAGTTACAATATAAAAATGTTTGGCAAGACCACGAGACATGTTTGCTCCCGGAAAACAAAAAATATCAGTTTTTGATTTAGACAATATGCAAAAAGGAATCCTATTTTTTTACAAAATTTGACAGTAAAATTAGATTTTAAAAGTACTTAAATTAAAAAGTGGCTTCTTATTCAAAATTTGATGTTTAGACTGGTTTTGGGATTTTTAGTGAGTAGTTAGACTTTTAACATTCAAAAATAGAGTCTGATGTCCAAGTATAAAAATAATGTATCTATAAATTGGATATTAATTGTTGTGTGTAAGTCGAGACAGATCAGCCTTTGTAAAATTAATATTAAACTTAATAATAATGGATGACTTGATTATATGATTTCAATAATAAGATAAATATTTTGAATCAGATTTTAGATATTTTATTTGATAATTATTGCGTTTTGGTTAAGACACTAATATATCGGGTTTGCTTGATACATTGTTCCTCGTCCAAAGCTTTCAAGGTGTTATATAGTTCAAGAATGATAACTCCTACTTAGAGTATATCAAATATCTGAATCTGCTATTGTACCAATATTTTTTTATCTTATATTACCTGCTAGAAAACAATTATATTTTAATAAATTGATGAAATACTTTATTACTCGACTTTACACAACAATGAATGTCAACTTAGTGCCATCCAATAATCCACAAAAGGGTGATCAAATGGAGAACTACTTAATGGAGTAAAGAGATTCAGACATTGCTATCGAAGACAGGAGCACCACTAAAACCGATAGGCTGAGCATGGGCGACAAGGTTCGAACGCATGCCACTAGGTGCTACAGGAGTGTTATCTGCATTCGCTGCTTGTCGCATCTCTTCTGCGGTCGCTCTAAAAAATATATTTAATTTTATTAAAACAGTTACTTATATTACGAGATCCCACTGTGTGATTTACACAAATCCAAATTAAATGAAAAACTACACATACAGTAATTTTTTTTAACAGTTGCATGCATTTGTTTTGGCAGTATGTGAAGTTTCGTTTACAAATAATATATAAATAACAAATTTAAGTTAAATTTGTTCTATGCAAGATAAAAGTGACATATTACATACATACATGAGTTTTAGGTATATCATCATTCTCAATATTACTTTTAAAGTTAATTATTGGCGATGAAAAAAAAAAAGAGATTAGAACATTTTTTTATTACAGATGTTTCCTTACAAATTTCATTTTGCGCTTTAGCTGCATTAAAAATATGTTATTGATGTCCATGTCATATTTTTTTATAAATCTAAAGTAATTGGTGGCACTATTCTCTTACTCGAGAAGGTTGACACAATTGCCGAGATTGTTCACTCCACATAAAAATTGTATTGCTCTTTTTTGCAAACAAAAAACAGTATTGACTAACTCTCGGCTACAACCAACCTAAAATGCAATATTATCTTAAATTGAACTCAACTAAAGCGTAATATACACATTTAGCTGGTTTAAAACCTATTTCTTTTGTCACAGTTATGACTGCAAAACATCCAGAAGAATATTTTGCACGAAATTCAAGGTTTTTTTCTAATTCAGAAGAAAGTGTTTATCAAGTCTATATGGTTCTTACATTTCCAATTATTGTCTAAATTAAAGCCCAGAAGTTTTTTTTATTAATGTATTTAATGTCTAAACTACAAGGTTTATATCGACGCTCGTGAGCACGCTACACACAAATACCAGCCATTTAGCCAAATCCTCTGGTGTTCCAAGCAGAGGTAGGATCTTTAACGAGCCCAACATCCAAGGACTCGAGACCGATGGCCTTATATTGCATCCGAAAGATAACATACCCCACTCTATACCTCGTATTCATTGATATAGCACCTGCCGCCAGCTGTGGTATGTAACTACGCGAGCAGTTTGTTTGGGCTTTTATAGATACGCCGACATTACTTTGCTATATCACATCAAAGTACTAACTGCGGGCGACCCTGCTCGACTGCAGATATCTATACATAATACTGAACCTGCTAAGCTGGGTCGCTACCCCAGAAGTTTTATTGTACTAGTATATTTAATGTTATGACTTTCCATAAGGGATATTTGTTTCCATATTTAGACACAAATAGTTGGCGGCTCACCATGCTTTGATTTTCTTAATGTCACAAGATGTGGTGTTATAAAAAACGCAGGTCATAAAATCGAAGAGTCATCACGTCATCAGTAAATAGATTGAAACTACTTACAAGCTCATAAGTTTATATAAAATGAAACTCGATACAGAAGCGAGGGACTCCTTAGTAGTTCTTACCATTTGCTTACGTTCTGAAAGATAAGATTTTATAAGCGTTTCGTCTTTGATTCTGTAAACTCAAAATTTTTGCATCAATACTGTATGATTAACGCCTTGGTCAAATTACAGAATATCCCTACTACAGCTTAATTAAAATTAATTTTTGATGGATTTTCTCCAAAAACTCCGTAATGCGCATGCGTTGTAGTGCCGTTTAACATCGCAGAGCTGTGCCATTTTTGCAGGATCATGTAACGTTTCACTGGTGGGGAGTTCAGTGGATGGCCGTTTGGTGGCCTTCGTCGTTTGCTGCTTATTGGCATAGACCTGCGACTTAAGGAACCCCCACAAGAAAAAGTCCAACGGGATCAAATTTCATGATATCGGTGGCCAGTTCACGTCTCAACTGCAAGATAACCATACCCTCAAATTGCTCTTGCAGAAGGTCCATTGGGATATTAACCTTGTACCACGTAGCGCCGTCTTGTTGCAACTACATTCATAACGTCCTCAATTTGGGTCACAAGCAATTGGTTATCATCTATCAGTAGCGCTCTCCGTTGATTGTGGTGGCAATGCCATCGTCATTTTCGAAGAAGTACGGATCGCTATGCCCGCCGACCCAAAATCCATACCAAACAGTGATTTTCTGTGGATGCATTGTCCCTTAGGTGGACATCGTGTGGATTGGCATCGTCCCAAATAAGGCAATTTTGCTTGTGGACGTATCCAGTTATCCAAAAACGGGCCTCGTCGGTAAGGATGAATTTTTTATCCATTTTTTACGTATTTCGATTTTAAAGTTTTTCATATACACACGTTGCTCAACAGTGTAATTTTTCATGATAACAGTTTGACAAATGCAGCATGGTGGCCATGAAGTCAAAATCTACCGGTTCCTATTAGAAAAACCTATGCTCCCCTATCGCACAGTGAAAACTAGGTCATACAAACACTGGCAACCATCAGTTGCGACAACTTTTACGTTGACAATCAAGTTCTATCATGTAGAGAAGAAATTTGGCGTCAATTTGGTATATTTTTTTGAAATAACTCGACATAGAAAATAAACGAAATGTTATTTATATAATAATTGTTTTATAAACTGAATTTCAATTACTTCGCAACTCGACAGCGACTAATGACTCTTCCAGTCGATTGGAAAAGCTTCAATCTCTGTCAAAATTTATCAGGACCACAAATTATATTAAAAGTTGCTACAACCGGCTTTGTTTCATTAAATTTGTATTTTGATAAAATAGATGAATATATAAAATCAAGCAGTGGGATTAAAAAATACGGTAGTGAAGAAATCAAACTATATTTTTTACTATTCGTTTCAAAGGTATAGATCCTTAATTTTAAAATTTGTTGGTATAGCACGGTATTTACTAAAAATTAAAATTTTTGCGTAGGTAATTTTCGAGTAAATCCAATTTTAGTATTTATCAATTTTTTAATAAACAATATTTTATTTTCACTTTTCAGACACCTCGTGCTATCACTAGAACACGTTTGTAGCGTAGCGGCACTGCAGCCTGCGGCTCATTGTGACACCATTTGAAGATTCTCTTTCCCATTCAATCACTCATTCACCGTCATTCATTTCACGTCGTCTTGGTTAAACGCGGGTCGGATAAGTTCCATGTTGGCATGACCCAGCCGTGACAGGAGAGCTTACTGCTTAACTGTTACGAGAACGTGGATGTAGAAATATTTTTTTTATAAATGGTTTTTACTATTAATTCGTATTTTCAAAGTGCTTTTATAAATTAAAACGATCGAGGAGTATTATGTTCATCAAGCCTTCAATTAATTTGCGTTATTACATTACAAAAAAGTTCATAATCTTTTTCTACCAATATTACTTCTAAGCGGAGAAGTATGTTGCGATGACAGAATTACAAATTCAGTTCACTGAATAGAGATAGCTGTACAATGTGCAGTCAATTTTATCACGTCAAATTGGTTGTAAGTTCCGTTTATCGTGCCTTAGTATTAGGCATTGCAACGACCTGTCAAACTTCTGACAAGTGGGAACTGACATTTTAGTTATGGCAACTCTGTGAGCCTGTTGTCATTGACAGGATCAATGATACATATATAGTTATATAGATTGCTCAAAGCAGGTTGTTTGCGAGCGGCCATATTGCCTCGCAAGTGCTCATTAATCAGAATCGATTTTTCAAAAATATGTTTACAAACCAATATTCAGCCTTTGAATATAGCAAAAAGATAATTACCTACATTTTTAAGTCAAGGCATAAGCTTATGTTTATTTTGAAAAATATGGATGATCAATCTATATAACTGTTTTATTAACCTTGTCAAATCACCAGGCCTACATGGTAGCCGTAATTTTGTCATATCATAACCTGTCAAAACCCACTGGTATCCATTTTGTTTGGAATGCCTAATTCTGATGCTGAGTTCGGGCAGTTCACTCTTCGTACGCGGAGTCACTCTATCGCCGCGTTCAAATTATACTCGTCAAAAGACCTGCGTTAACTCTATTACCTTCAAATTAGCGGGAGGAGAGTATATGGAGTTATTCTATATCAGCACACAGGAATAAATGATGAACACATGATCAAGAATAATTTTTCACTTTATTTTACCTTTTCATAATTATGTATTATGAGAACCAAACATGGGTAAAATGTTAAATGCTTAAAAAATGTAATATATCTCTTATCGACTGGGAACCGGGCTAAACGATCCGCGCAGTTGGACAGCGCTGTTGCCGATACTTCCGGAACTGAGTTTATTACGAAACACACATCTTATTTCAAAACGAGATGTAAAAAAATGTAATCTGAACAGCTACACCTCGGATAAACAAACGCAGATGCAGATGTAGTAGATGTGTTCGAAATTGATAACTAAACGTTCAAGAGGTTAAAAAAATGCATCGGATGTGGATATTCCAACGCAGTAATATACAGGGTGTTTCATAATGTATGCGCAGGACTTCAGGACGTGATAGCTCGTCCAAAAATATGAAAAAACGTTTCTATTAACTTACCCTCTTTAATGCACCATTTTCGAGATACAGGGTGTTGAAATTGAAAAAAAAATTTCTACGCCACTGGAAAAAGTACGGTTTTGAGACGCCCATTTGAACCGCCAATGTTTTCTACACAAAAAAGGTACTCTTGGTCATACGCTCTAAAGTCGACCGTTTTCGAGAAAAATCAAATTTTAATGTTGTTTTGAAATTTAAAACCTACTTGATGAAACAAAATTTGATTTTTCTCGAAAACGGTCCACTTTAGAGCGTATGATCAAGAGTACCTTTTTTTTGTGTAGAAAACATTGGCGGTTCAAATGGGCGTCTCAAAACCGTACTTTTTCCAGTGGCGTAGATTTTTTTTTTTAATTTCAACACCCTGTATCTCGAAAATGGTGTATTTTAGAGGGTAAGTTAATAGAAACGTTTTTTCATATTTTTGAACGAGCTATCACGTTCTGAAGTCCTGCGCATATATTATGAAACACCCTGTATTGTCCTTAATTGTGACTTAACACCTGTCTCTTGTCTCCCAAAACTTGTCAAAGCAATGGGAATGCGTTTAAAAACCTCGCACGGCGCGTCTGGACCCTA